TCGTCCACTACACACGGTGGTGGTGTGTCTAACACGTCTCTCGTCCACTACACAGATTGGTGGTGGTGTGTCTAACACGTCTCTCGTCCACTACACACGGTGGTGGTGTGTCTAACACGTCTCTCGTCCACTACACAGATTGGTGGTGGTGTGTCTAACACGTCTCTCGTCCACTACACACGGTGGTGATGTGTCATAAGTAACACGTCTCTGACACGGTAATATTTCAAACTAGAAACTTGGCTATTTAATACTGTTATAAAACATGTGCTGAGCTGGACATTCGAATGTAAAACCCCCCCAGCCAGAGTTGTAAAACTACAAAATGCTGAGTTAAACATCCGAATGTAAAGCTCACCAGTCACGCTTAAGCTGGTAAGACGACGAGAGGATGTGATATGGGAGGTTTCCCATAATTTCCCCCAAATATGGGAGGTTTCCCATAATTTCCCCCAAATATGGGAGGGTCCCATAATTTCCCCCGGAATTAAAACCAGGAAAATATGATTTACACTAGGAAGCCTTAAGCTGCTTACGGTTGGCTGAAATGTCTTTAGACCGGAAGTCACGTGCTATCGTGGTTACAGGGTTTTAAAAGGTTTTTAATTCGGTGAGCTAGCACGTGGTTTAATAAATGGATTTAAAAAACAAAACCTTGAACCTATTTCTTTGTTAAGTTGATTTAGCGTCGTATAGGCTTTCTACTGTAGTTGTTTCAGGCGACACTACCAGTGCACGATGCCATTCAGTCGTGTTCTGGTAACTTTGATCATTTTAGCCGGCACACGGCAACTTAGTTTGTATTGTGATATCATTTTAGCCGGCACACGGCAACTCAGTTCGTATTGTGATATCATTTTAGCCGTCACACGGCTACTCAGTTCGTATTGTGATATCCTTTTAGCCGGCACACGGCAACTCAATTCGTATAGTGATATCGTTTTAGCCGGCACATGATACTCCATATGTTGTACTGCAGCTATGTATAAACCGAACCCTGAACCTATTCTTGCTCCTGAAGCCGCGTATTACAGCTAAAATATACTCGAGAACCTCTGTTTTTCTAGAATAAGTTCACAGATGGCATTTGATCGCCGCCCTAGCAGGACACCAGGACAGATGTACCGACTGTACGGATCTACCCATTTGTTGTCGGGAGAGCCAGAGAAAGCCTATACAAAAAGCCAATAAGCTTAATGGTCTGTTCAGATAGGCGGGACACGAGAGTCTAGAGAAAAATAACCAGACAATACATTTACAAAGAGTTTAGATGTCATTATAAATTTTTGTCCTAAGTTTTAAAGGCAGATTAGGACATTATTTTTAAAAAGCTTCCTTAGCCTTTACTATGTACAGGAAGAGCTTATAATAATTGAATCTAAATATAGAAATTTGCCAAAAATTTGCCCCTTCCACCACCCCACCCCCCGGTTATGATTTTAAAATGCTTTTTTTTTTTAGAGTTGATCTTGTCATGTTTTTAAGTTGTTTATCTTGATCTTGTCGTGTTTTAAAGTTTTTAATTTCTCGTATAGAGGAAGTATTGTAATCGTTCACAAAAATCACATGAAATTTTGACCGTTTTCATCGTTTTACACCTCAGTACTTCATCACATACGGAGTATAGGGGACTTAATTTAATCGGGCAAATCCAGATTTATCAAAATTTCGGCGTTTTATGCGTAATCCAATCGGAAAAACTGTTTTTTGTAATTCTTTACGTGCGCGCGCGCGTGTGTGTGTGTTTGTCTGTGAACACGATAACTTGAGTACCGTTACAGCTAGGTTGATGACATTTCATATATACGTATTATATCAAATTTGTAATTCTATATCAATTTTTTAGAAATATCCGTTAACCGGAAGTGGAACTTACTCTACTCTTGGTTTTCAAAAGTTTATAACTCGAGTGCTGTTTCAGATAGATAGATGAAATTTCACATATAAGTAAAAGATCTAATTCTCTGCCTTCTGTCAAATTTTGAGAAATTTCTGTGTACCGGAAGTAGTAATTTACTCATATGAATTTATAAAGTACTATTATTCCGCACTATTCAAAGTATTATACACACATTGTTTGGTGTTTACTTGATGAGCAATTCTTTGTTCTACCATGTTTTATTACATTTAAAAAAATTAAGTAATAAAAAAATGATTACAAATCATATCTATATCCCGAGTTGCCCTCCCCTGAAATCTTATATAAGTATATTCGAGAAAGTTTAGGGGAGATCACTCCCGGTTTATTTATATTGATCTTGTCATTTTTTAAAGTTGTTTATGTTGATCTTGTCATGTTTTTAAGTTGTTTATGTTGATCTTGTCATGTTTTTAAGTTGTTTATGTTGATCTTGTCATGTTTTTAAGTTGTTTATGTTGATCTTGTCATGCTTTTAAGTTGTTTATGTTGATCTTGTCGTGTTTTTAAAGTTGTCCTGAAATCTTTATGTTGTGTTTGTGTTTAAATATTTCACATCTCGTTCAATTTTGCTCTGTCGTTGTTATTGTTCTATTTTCAACGTTGTCTGATGTTTTGAATGTTATGATGCTTTTTTAAAATCCTTGTTTCTCAACATGGAGTTTCCTTTCAGCCTGCGGTAAAATAACAGTTTGGCCCACACCTAAAGGTAGGACCACTAGCTTGGCTTACACCTAAAGGTAGGACCACTAGCTTGGCTTAAAGCTAGAGTTAGGACCACCAGCTTGGCTTACACCTAGAGGTAGGACCACTAGCTTGGCTTACACCTAGAGGTAGGACCACTAGCTTGGCTTACACCTAGAGGTAGGACCACCAGCTTGGCTTACACCTAGAGGTAGGACCACTAGCTTGGCTTACAGCTAGAGGTAGGACCACCAGCTTGGCTTACACCTAGAGGTAGGACCACCAGCTTGGCTTACAGCTAGAGGTAGGACCACCAGCTTGGCTTACACCTAAAGGTAGGACCACTAGCTTGGCTTAAAGCTAGAGTTAGGACCACCAGCTTGGCTTACACCTAGAGGTAGGACCACCAGCTTGGCTTACACCTAGAGGTAGGACCACCAGCTTGGCTTACAGCTAGAGGTAGGACCACCAGCTTGGCTTACACCTAAATGTAGGACCACTAGCTTGGCTTAAAGCTAGAGTTAGGACCACCAGCTTGGCTTACAGCTAGAGGTAGGACCACTAGCTTGGCTTACAGCTAGAGGTAGGACCACCAGCTTGGCTTAAAGCTAGAGGTAGGACCACCAGCTTGGCTTACAGCTAGAGGTAGGACCACCAGCTTGGCTTAAAGCTAGAGGTAGGACCACTAGCTTGGCTTACAGCTAGAGGTAGGACCACCAGCTTGGCTTAAAGCTAGAGGTAGGACCACCAGCTTGGCTTACAGCTAGAGGTAGGACCACCAGCTTGGCTTACAGCTAGAGGTAGGACCACCAATAAGAGACAATCCAATCGTATAACTACAAGACTCCAAGCTCTGTGCTTACTGTCCACGCATTTCGCATTTGTAAAATTTAGTTTTGTATCAATACTTGGTTATTGGAGCTTGACATTATTGATTTTATTCTCTTGCACTCCGGAGCTTATCCCTAATCATCTAAATTTACACGTCCTGTGACGTAGATTGCACGAGCAACATTAAGAAATTTTTATTGAAACCTGATCGCACTTCAGAAAAGTCAGTGAGACTAGTCCATCCTATTAATACCCTATTATTTACTTACATATAGTCTGTCTGTCTGTCTGTCTGTCTGTCTGTCTTACTGTCTGTCTGTCTGTCTGTCTGTCTGTCTGTCTGTCTGTCTGTCTGTCTGTCTGTCTGTCTGTCTGTCTGTCTGTCTGTCTGTCTGTCTGTCTGTCTGTCTGTCTGTCTGTCTGTCTGTCTGTCTGTCTGACTGTCTGTCTGTCTGTCTGTCGGTCTGTATATATATATATATATATATATATATATATATATATATATATATATATATATATATATATATATATATATATATATATATATATATATATATATATATATACATATATATATATATATACACACATATATACATATACCATTAGTGCAGACAAGACAGATTATACAAAAAAAAAAAAAAAACACAAAATAGACTGCTAAACAAATAAAACGAAAAACATGTTTTGGGTGTAAAACACCATTGATAAGTTTATTTTTTTGGTTGGACAAGAAATGTTGAAATAATCCAAAACGCTTCAACTCATGTGTAAAAGATGTTTACATTGGAAGTGAGAAAAAAAAGTAAGAGTGTAAGTAGAAGAAAATACATAAGACATGTATAAGACATGTAATGTATAATATCACATTATGTATAACATACAATAAATGCACAGTTTTGAATACTGTAAAATACGCCAGTCCAAATAAAAAGTTTAAACTTTAAAGACAAATATTTTTTTAAAAACAACTTTGTTCAATGTTGAAATTATCACATTTTTAATTGTCGCTTGAGAACAAAGTTATCTTAATGTAACGTAAAGAATTGGAAAGATACGTAGACGGTGAAGGTAGTTTGATATTTGAAACAGATTTGTACAACAGTCGTAAAATTTGTAATACAACTGACCAGTTTGAGGGACTTACTAAATACATCTTTAGATTACCGTGCACTTACACATAGGTATGTGTGTTGGTAACGGAGCATGCAGATGTGTATGTGTATACGTTTATGTGTACGTGTGTGCGTATCCTTTTGCGTTATGTGTATACATGAATGCGTGTAAAATAACCTACGTAGGAATGTATGTACAGCACTAGCCTGGAGACTAATCAGAAGAAAACAAATTTGTAAATAAATTATAAATACCAGACAACATAACATAATTATAACTTTGATTAGATCACATGTATTTTTAACATGGCTGCAACAATTATAACTATACTTTTATCATTTGTTTCGTTATATAGCAGTAACCATTTGTGTGTGCCAAACTGACATGCTAACTTCGTGTCAATGTGATTTACACAGGCGTCTATATAATCATACATCTTGTATTATTGTCATGTTTTTTGTGTTGGCATATCTTGAGTGGTTGTTGTCGCATGCATGTGCTTTACAGATGTTGTAACATGGTGGTGTTGTAGCATGGCGCTGTTGTAGCATGGTGGTGTTGTAGCATGATGCTGTTGTAGCATGGTGCTGATGTAGCATGATGCTGTTGTAGCATGATACTGTTGTAGCATGATGCTGTTGTAGCATGATACTGTTGTAGCATGGTGGTGTTGTAGCATGATGCTGATGTAGCATGATGCTGTTGTAGCATGATGCTGTTGTAGCATGATGCTGATGTAGCATGATGCTGTTGTAGCATGATGCTGATGTAGCATGATGCTGATGTAGCATGATGCTGTTGTAGCATGGTGGTGCTGTAGCATGGTGTTGTTGTAGCATGGTGTTGTAGCATGATGCTGTTGTAGCATGATGCTGTTGTAGCATGGTGGTGTTGTAGCATGGTGTTGTAGCATGATGCTGTTGTAGCATGATGCTGTTGTAGCATGGTGGTGTTGTAGCATGGTGGTGTTGTAGCATGATGCTGTTGTAGCATGATGCTGATGTAGCATGATGCTGTTGTAGCATGATGCTGTTGTAGCCTGATGCTGTTGTAGCATGGTGGTGTTGTAGCATGATGCTGTTGTAGCATGGTGCTGTTGTAGCATGATGCTGTTGTAGCATGATGCTGTTGTAGCATGATGCTGTTGTAGCATGATGCTGATGTAGCATGATGCTGTTGTAGCATGATGCTGATGTAGCATGATGCTGATGTAGCATGATGCTGATGTAGCATGATGCTGATGTAGCATGATGCTGATGTAGCATGATGCTGTTGTAGCATGATGCTGTTGTAGCATGGTGGTGTTGTTTCTTGAATTTTCTGTGATATGTTAACGTCATGAGGTGCAGGCGTCTAGGTGTGCTTGTGTGGTCTATAGAAATTGTTGGCAAGACTATCCTGACGCTGCCCACGCCACTGTTAACACTGCCCAAGGCAGAACTCAAAGACAAGACTGTCTCAACAGTGACCACGTCATAACTCTAAGACAAGACTGTCTCCACACTGCCCACACCACTGTCGTCACTACACCTGTACCTGACCGTCATGACCATCCCATGACGAGTGCGCTTGGCCCGCCAACAACACATGTTGGTGAAGGCCCGCCTGAAGCCGTTGCTGAGGAAGCAGTAGAGTATGGGGTTGATGCTGGAGTTGGAGAGTCCCACGAGCTGCACCAGCGGGTAGATGACGAGAGACACGACGCTGGCATACGTGCTGGTGGGGTTAAAGTCCAGCCAGGCGTTGACCACGTAGTACGGCAGCCAGGAGCCAGCAAACAACACGACTAGCAGCACTAGTGTCCGGACCGTCTTCCGTCTCTGGAGAAGCAGACGGTCGACCTGGGGTGACATGAACGTCTGCTTCCTCACGGTGTCGAAGAGTTCGATGTTTTTAGACCACAGCGCCAGCGAGATCTTCAGGTAGAGGGCGCTCATCATGGCCAGGGGGAAGAGGAAGAGGAGCAGGAACACGATCATGTTGTAGGCGTGTTTGAGCATCACGTGACTCCAGGCCTCGTAACACACCCTTAGGCTGTAGACCTCGGGGACGTCGTGAGAGAGGACCGTCCGTACGAAAAGCACGGGGCTAGAGACGGAGAAACTGATCACCCAGATGGATGCCAGCATCACGTGCACACGGGTTCTGGAGAACAGGATCTTAGCGCGCAGTGGGATGTGGATGGCGAAGTATCGATTGATGGATATGGATAGCATGGATAAGACGCTGACCCCCACGGCAGTGATTTGTAGAAATGGGCTGACTTTACACAACACCTCGCCGTAGATCCAGTCTCTGTTGAGAAACATTTTATCGTTAGATCAGTTTTATCATGAAGAAACAATTTTATCGTTAGGTCAGTTTTATCATGGAGAAACAATTTTATCGTTAGGTCAGTTTTATCATAGAGAAACAATTTTATCATTAGATCAGTTTTATCATGAAGAAACAATTTTATCGTTAGATCAGTTTTATCATGAAGAAACAATTTTATCGTTAGATCAGTTTTATCATGGAGAAACAATTTTATCATTAGATCAGTTTTATCATTACATTTTCATGGAGAAACAATTTCATCTGTTTGATTCATTTTTCTATTAGGTTTTAGTGGAGAAACAATTTTATTGGTTAAATTTATATTGTTGTTACATTTAATGATTATCAAGTTTATCTGCGAGATCAATTTTATTATTTTTAATTACTAAAAGAAACTACTTAAGGAAATGTTTGTCATAACACTTTGTAGATTCATTGCTCGCCGAGGTAAAAATCAGTGAGAGAATATAATAAAGAAAACATTCTATAAAAAAATAAGGTATAATAATTGACACAATTATTTGTGTAAGGTGTGAAACTAATTATGTAAACATGTAATGACATTGAGAAATTAAAATTGAATGCGACCCTAACAGTTTTTGTGTGTGTGGGCTGCTGCTATGTGATAAAGGCAGCTAACATATGGAGTAGAGAGAGCTAGAGACGGAGTAGTTGGGATGGCATTGAAGTTTCTTTCTCTTTTTGGGGGAGGTGGATCTTCTCTTGAAGCACATCTACTACCTCCTCCCTCAGACAAAATACATTTTTTATAATTTATATAAACATTTATATCCTTCAACCAGTGACCACTCCTTGGATGTTTAAGTACGCCCCCAACCCCAGGAGAAAATTGAAACAATGAAACACTGTACATCACCATTTCTATCTGTTTCAACATAGTGTAACATTTGTCTCACCATATGCCCAATTTGTCTCAACGTATGCCCAATTTGTCTCAACGTATGCCCAATTTGTCTCAACGTATGCTAATTTGTCTCAACGTATGCCCAATTTGTCTCAACGTATGCCCAATTTGTCTCAACGTATGCCCAATTTGTCTCACCAAATGGTCCTATATGTCTCACCATCAGTGTTTCTTCCAGACTTTTTTCTCCGGGGGGGGGGGGCACTTGAAATCTTCGGGGGGCGGTAAACTTTCTTCGGGGGGGCGGACACTGTTAAAAGTATATATTTTCTATATAAATTATATACATTTCATTTCGTTCGGGGGGGGGGGGCGGTGGGCGGTAAAAAAATTTCGGGGGGGGGGGCAAAGCCCCACCGAAGAGATGCCTGGAAGAAACTCTGCTCACCATATGGTCCTATATGCCTCACCATATGGTCCTATATGTCTCACCAAATGGTCCTATATGTCTCACCATATGGTCCTATATGTCTCACCAAACGGTCCTATATGTCTCACCATATGGTCCTATATGTCTCACCATACGGTCCTATATGTCTCACCAAATGGTCCTATATGTCTCACCATATGGTCCTATATGTCTCACCATATGGTCCTATATGTCTTACCATATGGTCCTATATGTCTCACCACATGGTCCTATATGTCTCACCATATGTTCCTATATGTCTTACCATATGGTCCTATATGTCTTACCATATGGTCCTATATGTCTCACCACATGGTCCTATATGTCTCACCATATGGTCCTATATGTCTCACCATATGGTCCTATATGTCTTACCATATGGTCCTATATGTCTCACCACATGGTCCTATATGTCTCACCATATGGTCCTATATGTCTCACCATATGGTCCTATATGTCTCACCATATGGTCCTATATGTCTTACCATATGGTCCTATATGTCTCACCACATGGTCCTATATGTCTCACCATATGTTCCTATATGTCTCACCATATGGTCCTATATGTCTCACCATATGGTCCTATATGTCTCACCATATGGTCCTATATGTCTCACCATATGGTCCTATATGTCTCACATATGGTCCTATATGTCTCACCATATGGTCCTATATGTCTCACCAAATAGTCAAGAGTAAAATACCAGCGGGCACCAACATAGAAGCGTCGTGTCCATTGGCCAGTCTGTCTGTGACTGTACTAGTATCGGAATTTCCAGCCAATTAAAAATGTTTTAAAAACCTGTACGGCGACTCATTAAATTTGACGTGTGTCTTATATTTCTGCCGGGCATGTGAACTGGGTACATCTGTGTACATCTTTGTACATCTTTGTACATCACGGCTCTGATGCTGGGGCTAATGGCCTGCTGGGTAAATAGATTTTTTTTAACGATTTTTTTTTGTTTAATATCTAGACTAGGCACAATTTGCGGGGATTTTTTTGTATGGTCTTTTAGAGGATCCATTGATCAAAGTAATTTTTTTAAAACGTAAAAAAATAATTTATATTTTTCAAATGTCAAAACTTGTAGTTTGAAAAATGGAAAGAAAATAATAATTTATCGTGGTTAAAGTACACACAAAAGGGGAATTAGTTTAAAACATCAGGGACTGGGGATTTAGTTTAAAATATCAGGGACTGGGGATTTAGTTTAAAATATCAGGGAGTGGGGATTTAGTTTAAAATATCAGTGGTTGGGGATTTAGTTTAAAATATCAGGGACTGGGGATTTAGTTTAAAATATCAGTGATCGGGGATTTAGTTTAAAATATTAGGGACTGGGGATTTAGTTTAAAATATCAGGGAGTGGGGATTTAGTTTAAAACATCAGTTACTGGGGATTTAGTTTAAAATATCAGGGACTGGGGATTTAGTTTAAAATATCAGTGACTGGGGATTTAGTTTAAAATATCAGTGGTTGGGGATTTAGTTTAAAATATCAGGGACTGGGGATTTAGTTTAAAATATCAGTGATTGGGGATTTAGTTTAAAATATTAGGGACTGGGGATTTAGTTTAAAATATCAGGGAGTGGGGATTTAGTTTAAAACATCAGTTACTGGGGATTTAGTTTAAAATATCAGTGATTGGGGATTTAGTTTAAAATATTAGGGACTGGGGATTTAGCTTAAAATATCAGGGACTAGGGATTTAGTTTAAAATATCAGGGACTGGGGATTTAGTTTAAATATCAGGGACTGGGGATTTAGCTTAACATATCAGGGACTGGGGATTTAGTTTAAAATATCAGGGACTGGGGATTTAGCTTAAAATATCAGTGATTGGGGATTTAGTTTAAGATATCAGGGACTGGGCATTTAGTTTAAAATATCAGGGACTGGGGATTTAGTTTAAAATATCAGTGATTGGTGATTTAGTTTAAAATATCAGGGTCTGGGGATTTAGCTTAAAATATCAGGGACTGGGGATTTAGCTTAAAATATCAGGGAGTGGGGATTTAGTTTAAAATATCAGGGAGTGGGGATTTAGTTTAAAATATCAGGGACTGGGGATTTAGTTTAAAATATCAGTGATTGGGGATTTAGTTTAAAATATCAGGGAGTGGGGATTTAGTTTAAAACATCAGTAATTAGGCATTTAGTTTAAAATATCAGGGAGTGGGGATTTAGTTTAATATATCAGGGAGTGGGGATTTAGTTTAAATATCAGGGACTGGGGATTTAGCTTAACATATCAGGGACTGGGGATTTAGTTTAAAATATCAGTGATTGGGGATTTAGTTTAAGATATCAGGGACTGGGCATTTAGTTTAAAATATCAGGGAGTGGAGATTTAGCTTAAAATATCAGGGACTGGGGATTTAGTTTAAAATATCAGTAATTGGGGATTTAGATTAAAATATCAGGGAGTGGGGATTTAGTTTAAAATATCAGTTACTGGGGATTTAGTTTAAAATATCAAGGACTGGGGATTTAGTTTAAAATATCAGTGATTGGGCATTTAGTTTAAAATATCAGGGAGTGGGGATTTAGCTTAAAATATCAGTTACTGGGGATTTAGCTTAACATATCAGGGACTGGGGATTTAGTTTAAAATATCAGTGATTGGGCATTTAGTTTAAAATATCAGGGAGTGGGGATTTAGCTTAAAATATCAGTTACTGGGGATTTAGCTTAACATATCAGGGACTGGGAATTTAGTTTAAAATATCAGTGATTGGGGATTTAGTTTAAGATATCAGGGACTGGGCATTTAGTTTAAAATATCAGGGACTGGGGATTTAGTTTAAAATATCAGTGATTGGGGATTTAGATTAATATATCAGGGAGTGGGGATTTAGTTTAAAATATCAGGGACTGGGGATTTAGCTTAAAATATCAGTTACTGGGGATTTAGTTTAAGATATCAGGGACTGGGGATTTAGTTTAAAATATCAGTTACTGGGGATTTTGTTTAAAATATCAGTTACTGGGGATTTTGTTTAAAATATCGACAAACTAGGAACCCAACATCGACAATATGTCTCTTTAACTAAGAACACCCACACCGACAAAATGTCGCAAACTAAGAACCCCCACACCGATAATGTCAACATTAACTAGGATGTTTATTCACACAATTTTGAGCTGAATTTAAAATTACCTTTGATTGCATATTTATATATAATTAGGTTAAGCGGAATCAAGCAAACTGTTAATCTTTCCGGGTCAGCGCACAGAAATAATCGTGTTAAAAAATTAAATTGTTGCTTGACGTCAGTGTTTATTTTTCTATTGGGAGAGGTGATGAGTCGCTCTGTAATGGTAACTAGGGATGGGGTATGGTCGCTCTGTAATGGTAACTAGGGATGGGGTATGGTCGCTCTGTAATGGTAACTAGGGATGTGGTATGGTCGCTCTGTAATGGTAACTAGGGATGTGGTATGGTCGCTCTGTAATGGTAACTAGGGATGGGGTATGGTCGCTCTGTAATGGTAACTAGGGATGTGGTATGGTCGCTCTGTAATGGTAACTAGGGATGTGGTATGGTCGCTCTGTAATGGTAACTAGGGATGTGGTATGGTCGCTCTGTAATGGTAACTAGGAGTGGGTATGGTCGCTCTGTATTAGTAATAAGAAATGG